TTTATAAGATAATTATGCTAAAGGTTGGAATATTGTCAGAATCATTTCTTCATAATCGCCTCCCTTAGACCTATTTCCTTTTTTTTTTTTTTTGAATTAAGGATTAATCACCCACTGTTATGATAAAGCCTAGTTAAGTATTTAGGGTCAGTGGCCTAATTGTGTGTTCTTAAGCAAGCAGTTTACCAATTCTGATATATATGCACTAATTAACAGATAAATGCATCTCATCTTGATGTTTGAGTTTGCTGTGTATTATTTTTTTTTGCTGTGTATTATTTGTTACCTTTTCACAATCCATACCAATCTTTTTTTAACTGGAATAAATTTCTTCTTTTTAAAGATGATTGAAAAGTTTTCTGAATATAGTCTTTGTTGAACTTGTGATTTGTCTGTAAAGATTGTTTAATTGAAAGTATTCAGTGACTAGTTATATAAGGTATGCGAAGGAAAATGTTCTGGTAAATTAAGAACATCACTATTATTTGTAATATGGAAGCATGTTTGTGCAGCTTTGGAATCTTCTAATGCCCACAAAGAAGTTGACAGCCAGAATCTCCAAGCAGTGGGCTGACATTGGTTTCCAGGGTGATGATCCTAAGACAGACTTCAGAGGCATGGGTATACTCGGATTAATCAATCTTGTGTAAGTGAAATTGAACTTTCTTTTTTTCTCTAAATGAAATTACTTATAATCTCCAGTCTAGTTCATTTCTAATAAGAATTGATCTAGGTGTTTCATACTGTCTCTGAATTTTAATAGCTGTGGTACTAATGTGCTGGCATCAGTCTGAAGGCACTGGAAATACACTGTGTGTGTGTGAGAGATTTCTTTACTTACCAGTGCTTTCCTCTTTCTGACCCCCTTTTCAATGCCTCTTGGAGGATTAGGTACTTTCTTTTCTCACTCTTTTTATCCTCTTGTCTCTCTGAACTCTGATTCCATTAAGAGACGTATAACCAGATAAGGAGATAGTCTCTTCATGTGTGTTCTTCTCCACCTATGTTAGCTGATCCAAATCCCCGACTTTTCAGAGTCTACATGGACTCACTCTTATTTAATATTTATAATTTGGTTCATGTGTGAAATTCCAAAATATTCAACTTAGATCTCAATTGAGAGCCAAAACTATACTAGAAAAATTTGAAGATTAATTTCCTCCTATAAGGATATGCAGATGACTTACCAACTATAAAATGTCTAGAATGGGAAGTTAAACATTAAGGTCTGAATAATTCTTACTGTGTAAAGAATTACTAA